ATAATAAATATTCTATTGTATAGAGTCGGTATAACCGTCTGGGCATTTTTACGCTCTGCTTACGTAGTTAGAAATTAAAATTACAATGCAAAAGTTCCCATAAGCGTCTGGCCGTTAAATAAAATACGCGGGTCGAGGAACCGATAACTGTACTTTCAACCGCTAATCACCCCATGAATTCCGCAGAAACCTACGGACAGTCCGTCATAATTTCTAACTTCAAAAGTAATACCATCAACTCGGTGTTAACTTAATTTGACTCACTTTAACAAGTCCAATTAAAGGAATTTGTGTTTCTCTTATCTTCAATATAACATTGAGCATAATTTCAAATTATATTTCAAACTTTCCGATAATGAAGGGTGGATGGGAGCGGGTTGGGGCGGGTCGCGGGGCGCGGGGGAGCGGCACTTCGCTTATTTCATTAGTTACATAAATTCTCCTATTGAGGATGGCTGGCAGAAAGGGGACGGTTTACCCTTATTACGAGAGTCTCCTTATCAATACAATTATTAATATAATAATATTATTATTGTAATAATTTGGGAGCCGAGTGGAAAGAGGAGTCGTAGCTTAACTTCGCCAGCAATAAAGGGTGGTGAGAGATAATGGAATGGAAAACAGTTTGAAGTTTTATTGGAAAATTGGTACCGGCTAATTGGCAGCATTATCGATCTGTTGGCGACTCAAGGAGTTTCAGTAAATAACATTTTTAACGAAAACGTTTCGGTTATTGGCGAACGTTTAAAGCCAAATTTTGAACTCTAACTCCGTTAACGGAGTCTAATCAAAGAAGTTTTTAATAGAGGGCACTCTTTAAAGTGCTTCAAGATTTGTTTCTTAATACAATTTAAAATATTTCATCAGCAATTTCGGTAACTATAGTAACCATAGAATTAATGTTTTAATAATCTTTCTTGACCTACTGAATAAGACTAATTTTAATAAAACGGTCTAATGCTCTAATGCTAACTTGGATCGAGCGGTGTTTTCTTAATACTAAATCAAAACATTAATTTTAAACGTTGAGATATGATATTATCGACCTCACCTACCGAAACCTCTCATATATAGAAATTGAAACTAGGTTGGGGTTAATCCCGACCCCAGAGATCCACAAGTATAGCCATAATTCCTTAGGGCCACGTCTCATTATAACACTAATACAAGACTCATCCCGAAGTTACGGTGAATACATTAAAGGGTTCAATCCTTACTGATGAGACATCGGTCGGGGTGGGAGGGCACTCCGCCCGGTGGGGACGCTCCGGGCACTGGCCTGACTGAGGGGGAAATAAGGCAGGCATTATAGGAGATAGCGTTCATTTACATTGTCCAATAACTCCAAGTAGTGTCCGAGCGAATATTAGTTTATGGCATGCGGTGTTTCCAACAATATGTATGTACCAATTTTATATATACAATCACTCTATAGTTACTTTACATTACAATATTTAAAAAGTCGAAGGGGCTGAAATAATTCGCTCTGTAATTAATTCGATTTGGTTTTAATTAACGAGACGCCAATTTCAATAAAAAATTGAATTCTCTAAAGGATTTCTGATTAGAAAATACGACCAGTAAAAATTAAAACGAATTTATAAAATTGTTCTTAATTTACGCGTTCCCTTTTTTGATTTTGTTTAGTCAAATGGCCAAGTGGAAAGTATAACTCTGAAAATTTAGTTATGATTTTGAAACAGACTTTGGACATGAGGTCAATATCACACGTGTATGATTATGAGTTTGAGTCTTGTCTAGCTAAAACATAATAAAACAGAGATGTACACGCATGGTCCGAAATATACGACATTACTATCGGAGAGTGGCATGCGGAGGAAGTGCCCCCACGTTGTACGGCACACATAAATACACAGAATCAAGATGCATGCATAAACGTACACACACGTGTGTATGTGTGCACAAGGGGTCTTCTCTCACACCAATACAAAAGCCAGGCTTTATTCTCATTCGGTAAACGGAGATGCACTACCCTAATTATTGAGAGGCAGCAATCCGTTCGAATAGTATTATTGACGTAGGTTTGCTACCAACAATTGTTTTGTGGTTTAGTACTTCAATACGACTTTGCAAATAACGATTGAAAGTATTATTTTAATAAAATATTAAAGTAAATATGTATTGGGTATAAACTTGCTTACTAAAAGAAGACTGATGGAAAACTGAACTTTTATTTTATCTTATTTCTCATTATTCAATTCAATTGTTTTGGTCGGCAATAAAAAAGGAAAATATTGAATGATTACTTATGACATTGCAATAAGAATTTTTAATTCTTGCATCCTTTAGCCTTCTATGTTTTTTCTGTTAAAAGGGTAGGAAGAAAATCGTGTTTCTGCAAAGCTAAATTATAGTTATTCAATGGTTGCAATATAACTTAGAAACAGTTCAGAAACATCTCATTGTCTGCCTTCATGGTGTAGTGGTAGAGTATGCGACTGCTCTGCTGCGATCTTGGGTTCGATTCCCGGGTCGGACCAAATGTTTGTATGATCTGTAAATATTTGTTTCGGAGTTTGGAGTAAAAAAAAGTATTTAATTATTTCATCAGTCAATCGAGCTTTTACACTACACTCTGCTTTGAAACTAGATGGCGTTGTGTGTCAAATGACCGAAATATTATTATTAAATTGAAAACGGCTAAAAAACAAATATAAATCAGTAGTTCTTTACCAAATTTTTCGGAACGGCATAGAAGTAGATATACTTACATAAACATGTGTATGGCTAACCCATACACATTCCGTTTAATAAAAAATACAGTAAGCAGTCTGAAGCGGTATTGAGATGGTTTCAATTGAGACTGTAAGTAGATAAATATATGTTACTGACACACGTCCGTCAGATAAAACAAAGAAAATCTAGCAGCTACTAAGCGTTGGTGGAAGAGATGCGTGCGATATCACGGGAAAACTAGCGTCCAGCATCAAACTGCACAAAAATTTGCCAATTATATCACAAATAGTTGAAGCATACTTTACATGGAGTCTGAATTTAATAAAATACCATTTTGTAGTATGAAAATATTAACCCTTAAATAAGATCTTTTAAATTCTCCAAATTATTATTGTATGCATATTGTGCTGCTGACTTACATAGGCATTTTCTAGTCTTACTCTTCAGTTAGGATTGAAAAAAGAAAACAGATAAATGTAACAGTAATATGCGAATTTACATCATCTTTCCTTGCTTATAAGGTTGTTTTTAACTTTAATTGTCATAGAACTGCTTCTGCTGACCGAAGACAGAGATTGCACTTTAATAAATTTTACCACTTCATACGAACTGCCGCTCTTCCACGGTTCAGATAAAATTTTCAAGTGAAATAATCTTACATTTTTAATATTCAAACCCATACCCTAAATTAATTAATTAATTAAATTTTTTTTGGTGAAGCTGTGTGGATGACGAGCCTGTTGGTTTAGTGGTTAGTCATACGTACTGACTGCGTAGTCAGAGAATCAAATCTGGCTGGGAATCAAACCCACGACGGGTTTGATTCCCAGCCAGGGCAAATATTGTGGGATGAGCACGATCATTTGTTCTGTGTCTGAGTATTATATTATTTACATATGGATAGACGGAACCACAGTAAATCTTAGCTGTTAATAAAAATACAGTAGTAACTAGGAATGCAGTACAATAAAATCTATAAGTTCAGCTTATCCTTGGAACTATATTTAACTAAGTACATACTACTCGTATAGTGAATAGAAATGGTACAGAATATTGCTGTTAGGTTTTGCACTATTGAAATATTACGTCCCTTCTCGCCTACAGTTGTAAACAACAGGAGCGATGAAATCATAGGTATTTCATGTACATACTTCGTCAAGGCAAACAAATTTGTTTTAAAAGATATTTTTTCATTTTTGCAAAAAAGCTACAATGAGCAGGTTTTAAGTAGAAGTACCATGAACACATATTTTAGGCAATTAATATTTTTATTATAATTTCAGAACAAGTTTTTTCTACGAATTCAACCTCGCGTACCAATTATGAACCACGACTGACCGCTCGCCCGGGTCTGTGTTAAATACCTACGCCATTGGCAGTAGTCTATAACGCCAGAGCTGCGGTAATCGCTTACAAACAAGAGGGTCGTATGCTTATTTGCCACAGCCTAAAACAGTCCACTGCTGGACAGTTTTAAGCTTTCTTTCTTTATCTATCAAAATGAATATCTACATACATTGGTTTGATAACTATGAATTTTGAAAATTGACATTGCAAGAAAATCATCAACAGCCTTTAATAGTCATCTGCTGGACATAGGCCCCTCCTCAGAATAGAGGTTTTGGCCTACTATACCATGCTGGCCAGACGGGTTAGAATAGGGATTGCGTCAAGTTACAATTATCTTAGCAGTGCTGCTGTCCTGCATAGTTTGCTGCCTTAGTCGGCTCTTACGACACCCTGGAATTAATAGGGTGATAAAACTTCTTATTGTTAGTCCGTCACAACATGGATAATGATACATTTAATATTTGAACTGTATATTTCATGTTTTCTTTATATAATTTATCTAGTAATTGGAATAAAATGAACACACTTTATTGTTAAACAAACCGATTCACTAAGTAAGTGGCTCGCTACAGCAACATGTATATTGTATACCTACTTGAAATGTCCGAGCACGTTGCTTCATACAATTTACAAATACATAGAATGTACAGGTACACGATATCAAAGAGAACTTGAATGGTGACTCTTTTATGTATGATGCATTTTAAAAACTTTTCAGTCGCTTTTTTATGTTTTATTGAAATCGTTTGTTTGTTACTAAGAGAAGATAAGCACAAGTTGCCTTTTCCTCTATATTTAACCAAAAGGAGAATATTTAAACCTCGAAGATTCACCCACAACACACCGGCTAACGATGCTATATCTTCGATCATAATTCCATATTCGGACGTCGTCTAAACATAAATTCATACGTGGTCGCACGCACGCATCGTACCGTCAAATAAACTGGCAGTTTAATCAAAGCCATTAGACAAGTGAGCCAAGCTCCTAAGACCAGTATAAAGCGACCCGTCGCCGCCGTCTCGCCGCCCCATCTTGACTGGTAACAGTTGATGCCGGAGGGGATGGGGAGCTCTATCGTTACTGGTGGGTGGTGTAGCTGATGCCTTTAACGCCTTGCTGGCTGTTGACCAACGCCAGGAGGCGGGTGGCCATGCGTTCTTAATAAAGATGGCGGAAACATGGTAGTTTTGGTAGTGCAAGGGTGTTAGTTGGTTGGGAACACTGATTATGTGGCTTAGCCAGAACATGAAAGCTTGTATGATATATAAAACTTAAAAATGCTCGCAATTAGATTTGATGAGCTATGACAATCATTCTCACCAATATAATAAAAATAAATAACCAAATAGGTCTACCTAGCAGCGGTTTTAATTGAATACCTATTTCCTTTGTTTAACTCTTCACATCCATGTGTTAAAATACTTTTCAATCCAACTCTCACACGAATCCCTCAAAACAGAGCATACTTGAAAATAAAGGTAGTGGCACACAAGCGAAACTCAGCCACTCTACTCGTACTCCGAACAGTATTTATCAAATGGGACGCAACATACATTATAGTGGCCAATACAACTATAGTATAATGAGAGTCCGAGCTATATAACTCATCTCCCGGGCTTCCATTTAAATTATTCAGGGGAGGGTAATCTTATTACATTTACATATTAATCAACGGATTTTAATTATACCTCCCCCCCTTCTAGGTTGATAATTTGCTTTCAAAATGCGACTTGCCTTGATTGGAGGCGTGTCTGTGTGGGTGACGGTAACGTTCGTTAAATAGTTTGTTTGTGGTTTATAATTTTATAAGAGAATAGAGGAATGTATGTCTTACTTACAGATTACGAATGTAAATGATACTTTACCTGAAACATAAGAGGAAAGAAATAAGGTTACAAATTCAAACTAAAATTGTATTTGTTACAAGACAAACTTGTACAAGGCAGCATTACTTTAATAGACGGGCAAAAACAAAAAGAGATAGTCCAGGAATAAAATGTTACTTGAACGGTAAAAAATAAAAGTACGATTGAAAGTAACAAACTCAAAGGTGTCAGATAAAATGATAAGATATCAATATCATTAATTGAACTTATCTAAAACAATTGTCCCTTTAAATATCATCAAGTGCATGAATACTCGCAAACAAGTTCAGTATAAAATAAGTAAAAATTATAAAGCAAACAGAAAAATAATGAATAGTGCACACGAGTTTAATCAGCATACTCATTTGTCTGACGACGCTGGCAACGCATTAATGTCTGCAAGTCGGACGCGTTGGGCGGAGCCGTGCACTCGTAAACCATTGAAGAAATATTATAAAGCTACCAGTGTACCCCGGGGGCAGCAATTAATAAGTATGTTAATACCGTCGGGAATGAAGAAAGCAGTATTTATATACCCGATATTATACCACTAGTAATACTGAGTATGTTCGCAAGTGTGGACGTGGGATAAGCCAGGATATAAAAAATACATGGCATTTAAATCATTTATTTACGTAACAATTATTTAAATTAGTTTAAAATTGCAACGGTTTTATAAAATGCATTAGTTAATGCAAATAATTAAGACTAATGCTAAGAACTAAAGTCCACTTAAATTTTCACTCGATCACTTAAATGTATACCTAAGTAAGTTGTATATGAAGCATGACCGTGTGCTTATCCAGCTTAGCAAGTGGAAATATACCAACTAATTATACTAAGTAGGTGTACGTAACTATTTATTGGACCAATAAAGAGGTTTAATTTTTATCATCCTCATAGCGCTTTGTACGGATCGGGAAAATGGGATCTAAACTGACTACTTGCGTTTTCATTGCAACTGTAACTAGCTGTTTAAAATATTTTTTGTCCTACATACTTACACTTATCTACTATGTCAATTATATACGAAAACCTCATTTATTACTAGCCACGTTTTCAAATGTGTTTGTGGATACTACATTAAAGATAATAATGTTAACATAGACTAGATAGGGCTTAAATAAATGATCTGGAATTGACATTTTTAATGAATTTTACAAACGTTTCTGGTTCTCGTTGCGTTCAGTTTAATTTATTGCGAGAAAAAAGATTAATAAAGTCCTGTAACCAACTAGTTGATGTAATGACAGGGTGTTATAAAATTCTAATCAGCAATTCAAAATTACGAAGTTTCCTCAGTAAAACGGTTTTAATTTTTTTCTGATTGCCTCCATTGTCCGAGTTGTTGCTGACTTTATCTTTCAACCCTTTTAACATTTTTTACCATACTTTGTATAACTTTTTGGGTTAGTTAGTATCTAGACGTTTATTTTAACAAATTGAATTTGTAATGAAAATGACTTTGTATTCTTTTTGTATTGATTTATTTTTCAAAGAGTTTTTACGTAATTTGAAATTTTGTTACAGAATAAAAGAAAGGATTCGACAAATGTTTTTAATTATGGATTTAAAAAGGAGTTAAAAACCTCCTTCGTTTTCTTTTTCTTTTCGATTTGTACAATGAAATGTATTCAAATTTTATTCTGTAAAATCGTTCTTTTAATGGCATCGTGTTTCAGTCTCGCACTGGTTCTAAATGACTTGTTATAACACTTTTATATCATGCCGTGACATGCTGAAATACATTTCCATATAAAATTAAAAATAATTTATGATCAAGTGCGGTGAGAAACATGTCAATAGCTCGAAGTTTCTTCATAAAATTATCTGAAGAGTAACTGCAATGTGCACATACCCTTTTAAGATAAACTTAACTTAACTCTAACTTTGCTATGGAATTGTGCAGTTTATTTTTTCTTTATGGTATAAGGGAGCAAATGAGCAGACGGGTTACCTGATGGTAAGCAGCTGCGGTGGTAGTTGCTTACCATCAGGAGACCCGTCTGCTCGTTTGCATCCTTATTAACATAAAACAAAAAAAAACAAACACTGCACAATTCCATAACAAAGCTAAAGTCCAGTACTTGAAAACAATATACCTACCGTGTCAATGTAATGTCCAATGCAAATTCTTAATGAGGTCTTGTTTTAATAATCAAGAGCAAGGCAAACAGATTGATGGTGAGATTATTATTCAAATTAGGGGAAGTTGGGACTACGTGGACCTCTCGACACTAACATTATAAGTCGACGAGACTGTTTGTTATGATATCGCTTAATACCACAGGGTTAGGTTTCAATGGAACTAAGTACATTTCTGGTTTGTATAAATAACAATATTTCTACAGTTCCAGTAGTGTACATGGCTTGACAATTTTTAGAAACTTGATGAAAGATATTTCATCAAATTTCTAAAAAGTTTCAAGTCATGTCATTGTGTGATACAAATAAAAATAAAACATTTTAGTGAAATATAAAATATTCTTTCTCTTCTTTTGACAGGACAACTACCATAACTGTATAAAATGATGGTACGTCTAATTCATACTAGTTCGTGGACACAATAGATCTGTCATTGTGAGACGAAGTATTCGTCCATACACACGCTCATGTGATTATTTATTATTTCGTGTTTCTAACTTTGAAGTTATATATATATATATATATATATATATATATATATATATATATATATATATATATATATATATATATATATATATATACTTATTGGGGGTGATATTTTCTAAAATCCTTTCTTAATGAGTGCTTACAACATATAAAGCAACTGCTGCCAAAATTTAAAGTTTCTAGCCCCAGCTATTTAGGCTCTTCGTTGGTGAACGAATCAGCCAATATTTGACAGACGCGCAAGCAATTTTATATCTACGACAAATCCAACATAACTAAAATACATTAACTATAAATTTAGCACATGTCAACATTACTTCTCCTTCGAAACACATGGAGGTGTAGCGCGAAAAAAACACCAATGTTATATTCCCGTATGATGAAATATCGTCCACTCAGCTTGTTGTCCGATTCCCCAGCTTCCCTCAAACACAATCCCCATAATGGCGCCTCAGCCTTATTAAACGCTTGGATCATGCGAGGAAGATAAATGCATCTCGAAATTAATTAATAAAATTGCATTTATAAGTGTTGTCTGATATGGCCAACTGAAAAAGAATAAACTAAAATTTTGGATCCTTGATTGGCCAACCATTTTATTTCTTTCGCTAATGAAGTTAAATATTCATGTTTTTACTTTTAATTGTGATTTACGTTCATTATTTCTAAATGATGTCTGTTGTTTTACACTTTCTGTAAATTTCAGTTTCCTAATTTCTCTGTATGCTTTATAAATTTAGTTTTTTTACCTGATTTTCCGGATCATATATTAATTTTCTTATCGAATTTGAAAACTTTATGAGAAGTAAAACAACACTATATTGAGAATGCTTATTAATTGTGGTTTGAACTTACTATTTCACTCTGGTGACTACAATTGGCGACTATATTCGGACAGGGATTTACAAACTATATCATATTTTTGCATAGGGAATTTTCTGAGTCGAATACATTCATAATATAGATAACATTTAAATGCGTTTATCACTTGATCATTAATGATTGTTAGTTACTGTTTTGTCAAAGGAGCCAAACTAAAATAAATTAAAACAGTACAATCCAATCTTTAGATATTGATTTTGACCCTGCTTTTATTTGTTAATCTAACTATAATGTAAATTAAACTACAGAACAATTAAAAATTGTATTACAAAAAACTATAGATAATGATGCACTTAGGTATTGAGCACTTTACTAATTTAAAACACAAAACGCATTTAAAAAAAATAGGATATTAAGTTAGTCGAATAATAAGCTATATGTATAACCAAGGAGAGCCATATGTCCAGCAGTGGACTATCAAAGGATGATGAAGATGACGTGTAACCTAAAGTGTAAAGTATAATCAATTTTTCTTTGAAACATAAATGGTGGGAATCTCTGGACAAATAGCAATGTCGAACCAAATCCTTTAAAAAAATTAACATAAGCGATGATTGAAGTGAGCGAGCACCACGACACTCTTAAACAATCTTAATCTACATTTTTACGAGTGCCCTAGAGAAAAACGACCAGTTTATAACTGTAGCACTAAGATATTCGCGTAATGTAACATTAATCGCGCATTTAATTAAACAAAGAGCGAGTATTTTGCAGACGCACGCGAGCTCGTATCGGCACTTTGCATATTGATTAGAATCGGCGATCGCGAACTGCGTTGGTTACTGCTACCGGTTGCCAGTAGTCGATACGCGACGTGCTAATCTTGTAAGAATTCGTGGTGTAAAGGTAGGGAGCTTATCTCTGTA